GATGATTTATGATAAACAAACACGCCAATATTGTTTTTTTCAGAATGAAATTCTTTCATCTAATTTATTCGAATGTTTTTTTTTGTTGTTGTTGACAGATATGCAAATCAAGCCAAACATCTTATGCAAGTAAACCAACTACCTACCTACCAATTCAAATAGGCAAGAGAGAGAAAGTGTAAAGGGAAATTTAGGTAATAAATCAATCGATATCAATCGTTTTATCAAATGAATTATCACGGGAAAAGATGATGATGATGATGATGATGAAAACTTTTTTTTGTAGATGTTAATGTTGTTTGTTTTTTGTTTCAGCTATCAATAATTACCCTTTCGAAACAAAACAAAAAAACTATTTTAACAACATTAACAACAACAACATTACTATATTTTGATCATCGATAAGTAAAAGTAAAAGTAAACAAATAATTGAATTGTATCCAGAATGTCGACGTAATGAATATGAAAAATGGGAAAGCAGAAGAAACAAAACTCTTTTTGGAAAAAAATTAGCTTGAAAATGATGTTTCAGTGTTTCTTTTTTTTCAGATAAGTAGAAAAATCGATAACAAAACAAAACAAAACAACAAAAATCGATTTAAATCAGATACCGAATTCATTCAAGATTGACATTCAATCAGCGGATCTTTACATTTTTTTCTTTTCAATTTTGAATATTGTTTATACCCGTTGAAAAGAGTATTTTACGGATATCACAATTTTGTGAACTGTCATATGTGAATGACAGGTCAATTTCAATTATGTTCGCATCGTTGGGTGGAGATAGTCGTCAGTTTTTTTTTGCGTTCGAATCGAACGTTTTCTTGTCGTAAATTGTTCTTTATCCGGATTGTGTTTTTGTGATTTTCCATTTTCTATTTCTATTTCATTATGAAATCAAACAACATCTAACCAACATTTTTGTTGAATGTTTATCTTAAAATTTTTCTGAATTTATTTGTTACAAAGTCATTTCGTTGTTTCATCTAATAGCTCACAACTTATCAATAATTCATTTAAATTAATGAACGAAACTCAATCAAAATTTCATAATTTTTAATAAAATATTTAAATTGTCCGTAACAAGTTACTTAATGAAGACATTTTATCATGGAACAAATTTGTTGGAAAAGAAAAACTATTTCCAAAATATTTACCAGAAAGTGAATGGCGCAAAAATTATTTAACAAATTAATTGAAAAATTTCCTTGAATAAGAGAACGTTTCAATCGTTTTAATTTCGAAACAGGATCAAGCCGAGATCCGTTGAATGGTAAGATAATTTTATTATAATTTAAAATTAAATCATTATCATTAATATTTATCAATTCATTATGAACAATAGACATATTTGATGTCGAAAGTAAGAAATGGAAAATCAAAATACAATCAACGAAAACGAAGAAATTCGAAGTTGACAACAACAACCGAGAGTGAGGAATGAGATATTTTTTTAAAAATTATCACTCGACAAGTGGTAATTATTCTTCTATCTTTTTAAATCAATAAAAATATTTCAAGAATAAAATTGCCAAAGTCAATTAATAACAAAAAAGACTTGGAAAGGTTTTTTTTGGACTAAAAAAAAAACTATCAAGCTATGGAATCAAAACAAACAAGAAAATTTGATTACAATTTTTATAAAGTTTATTATTTTAATAAAAAAAATTTCAAAAATTTAGGAATCAATTTTTTATTTGCAATAAAATCAATTATGAATTATTATTGACAGTTTTAAATATTTTTTCCGCTTTTATTGCCAATTGAAGATTACCTTTAATTTTCAATTTTCCAGACATGAATGCATTTGTTGGTTTGATTTTACCCATAGCCATTTGTATGAATGTTTCTTCATCCGTAATCATTTGTACATCGAATGAATCCGGCGACTTGTTTAATGATTCAATTTTCAATGGTCGTGTTGAATGTGAATCAAACAGATATGTACGGCCGGATACAATGAAAACTAAAACGGCATTAATTTCATCTTTAATTTTATCGGTCATTTTTGATTTTGCCTGATTCAATACATCCATTATACGATCGGATGATGNAATCAACGAAAACTCGAAGAAATTCGAAGTTGACCAACAATCACCGAATGAGATATTTAAAAAAAAAAAAATTATCACTCGACAAGTGGTAATTATTCTTCTATCGTTTTAAATCAATAAAAACATTTCAAGAATAAACATTCATTTGTCAAAATTGTTCATCATCGCAATGAAAATTTTATGTAAATTGAAAATCTATGTATTTTTCGTGAAAATTGGATCAGCTAAACTTATCAATCTGGTCATTGATTTGACACCATGTTTTTTTTGGAAGCGAATTCATTAATGATTTCAAATATGTCATGACGCCTGAGAATCCGATTACAAAAACATGAAAAAGAATAAAATTGCCAAAGTTAATTAATAACAAAAAAGACTTGGAAAGGTTTTTTTGAACTAAAAAAAAAACTATCAAGCTATGGAATAAAAACAAACAAGAAAATTTGATAACAATTTTTATAAAGTTTATTATTTTTAAAAAATTTTAGGAATCAATTTTTATTTGTAATAAAATCAATTATGAATTATGAATTATTATTGACAGTTTTAAATATTTTCTCCGCTTTTATTGCCAATTGAAGATTACCTTTAATTTTCAATTTTCCTGACATGAATGCATTTGTTGGTTTGATTTTACCCATAGCCATTTGTATAAATGTTTCTTCATCCGTAATCATTTGTACATCGAATGAATCCGGTGCTTTGTTTAATGATTCAATTTTCAATGGACGGGTTGAATGTGAATCAAACAAATATGTTCGACCGGATACAATGAAAACTAAAACAGCATTAATTTCATCCTTGATTTTATCGGTCATTTTTGATTTTGCCTGATTCAATACATCCATTATACGATCGGATGATGGCGATGATGATGAACTATCATCGGTCATTGATGTTTTACCTTCTTCACTTGTACCGGCCATACCGGCAAGACCATCCATCACACGTTCAGGTATAAAAAAATCACCCATCAATTGATTACCTGGTTCGATTGCATATGGATCAAAATCCTTGATACCTTCATTACGTAAAACTTCTTCATCGATGAAAAAATTTCCTGTACATGATTTTGAATTCCTTGATGTAATAGCATATGCAGCATCAGCCATTATATCAATTTTACGACACATTTTAGCTATTTCTTGTTGTCCACCACTAAGCATACCCATAGCGGCTGTCCAAATTGCCGTACGTGGCCATAATGCATTAACAGCAATACCTTGATCTTTAAATTCTTCAGCCATACCAAGTACACATAATGACATACCAAATTTTGCCATTGAATAAGCAACATGTGGTGCAAACCATCTTGGTTTCATTTCTAATGGTGGACTTAAATTCAAAATATGTGGATTCGATGATTGTTTTAAATGTGGTATACAATATTTTGATGCCATAAATGTACCACGTGCATTAATCTGATTCATAAGATCATATTTTTTCATTGTTGTTTCCTGTGTTCCAGTTAAACTAATTGCACTTGCATTATTAACAAGAACATCAATTTTACCAAATTTATCAATAGCTTGTTTTATAGCACGAACAACTGCTTCTTCTTCACGTAAATCACATTGAACTGGTAAACATTTTCCACCATTATCTTCAACTAACAATCAAAGAGATTCAGAAATCAGAAATTCATTTTGAAAAACCAAAAAATGTTTCCAACTTACTTTCTTTAGCAGCCGTATAGATTGTACCTTCAAGTTTTGGATGTGGATCAGTAGTTTTAGCAGCAATAACAACATTACAACCATCTTTAGCCATTTTTAATGCAATTGCTTTACCAATACCACGACTACCACCGGTTACGAAAACCGTTTTTCCAGCAAAAGAACTACCCGAAAAAAAAACCAAATTCGCAAGGGAAAACAGAATTAGTTAGTTTGGAATTGAAAAAACCAGAAACAAAAACCGAAACAAACCCAGTATTTTTGAGCATTTTTGTTGAAAAAAATGAGCAATGTCACTTTGTGAAAATCGAAATGGAACAACCACCAAAACAACCAGAACAACAACAAAATAATCACATATGATCAGTGTTCTCGAAGTTACAATTAAAATGTAGACGTAACCTGTATAAACAAGCGGGTACAGATGTTTTTCTATACACAACAGCAGCAACACTTCGCACACATATACAGTTTGTATGTGTGAAAATAAATAGAAGAAAAACCTTGAATGTTTCAAATTTTTTTTTTAAAAAACTTTGTCTCTTTATTTATTTAGAAATTTTCAACGGGATAGGGGATACTTATTGGGAAATAATTAATAATCAAGAAAATTCAAATTTGTTTGTTTTTTCGATAAAGATGGTTAGTTGGTTGGCTGGCAGGTGATGTTTATTTGAAAACTTCATTCTGTAATGCTTTAAACATTTTTTCAGCACGTTGTGCTAATTTAATATCACCTTTTATTTTCAATTTACCAGTCATAAATGCCATTGTTGATTTCATTTCACCTTTAGCTAATTTCATAAAAACTTTATCATCAGCAATAAATGTAACATCAGCTTTTGGTGGATCACCAGCACAAACTTCAATTTTTAACGGGCGATCTTTGTTTGCATCGAACAGAATATTTTTACCCGATATACAGAAAACCATTGTTGCATTGATTTCACTTTTCAATTTATCATCAACTAATGTTTTAGCTTTTTCAAATAATTTTTCTGTTTCAATTGGTGTTGCATCGGCAAACCAACGTAATTGTTGATTACCATTGAAAATTGATGCATTCGAACGAATGGCCAACATTGATGATGATGTATTTTTATTCATCATTTGATGAACAAAACGAGCCATTGGAATCGGTTTTGTTCGACATGATAACATGGTCAATGCCGATTTTCCAATCAACGAACTAAAAAAATTTCAATTAGATCGGGTTTTTTGAGAAAGAAAAACAAAAATCAATCAAACAAACATTACCTGCTTTGTTTGATGAACATTTTTCTTAAACGATGAAAATTTGTTTGTTTGTTTTTTACTTCCAAGAAAAATTCAATGAACGAGTTCAATAACAAACGAAAAAAACCGAAAAACAAAAAAAAAACAAAAAACCTGAAATCGAACGAAAAAAAAGTGAAGAACTCACGAGTTTAGTAAACACTCTATTTATGGGTACAAAATTTTTTTTTTTTGGCTTCTTTTTAAAGATTGCTAGCAGCGCCAATCATAGCCAACGTAACCAAGGCTTTTCCATCAAAAGATATCAAATCAAATCAAAAGAAGAAAGATTTATCAAATCAATCAATGGATGGATGAATGAAAATCGATTTTTATTTTAGTTTTTTCGGTACTTTATATCGATATTGATTGATAATGATAATCAAAATGAAGAAGATTTCAAAGTATTGAATAATTTTTTCATTCGAAATGCAACATGTTTATTGCCACGAATTTTTAATTTACCCGCTAAATATGCAATCGATGTTCTTAGTTCACCATTGATTAAACGTTTTAAGATTTTCGAATCTGATATCAATAATATTAGATCAATATTTTCCGGTATTTTCCAATCAATTTGATTCATTTGTAATGGTTTTTCCGAACGAAAATCTAATAAGAAATTTTTACCGGAAATTTTGACCAAAATTTTTGCATTAATTTCATTTTTCATTTCATTTGTTATGAATGGTTTTGTTTGTTCAAAAATTTTCATTATATCCAAATCAGAATTATCATTAGCGACGAATGAATGTGACATTCGAACATTCATTGGTCGATCCATTCGAATCGACGACCACAATTGACCAGATGACCGGATTAAAGTGATGAATCGAGAACTATTGAATTGAGAAAAAAAAGGTTTAAAAATTAGCATTCGATTTGACAATCAGGATTGGGATTACCTTGAATTTCTTAGACAAAACATTTTCAATCAATTACGGAAAAAAACGCTTATTCGCTAAACATTTGGAATAATGTCCTAACAACCAAACATTGACCATGGTTTATATATGGTGATTTTTTTGGGGATGAATCAAAAATTTACCAATTAATTTTTCGTTGATCAAAACGAAAATGATAGATTTACTTGGAAAAAATTCCATCAACCATTATCATGGCTAGATTTTTATATCAATTTTCAACCCTTTTTCAAATTTTTTTTTTGATTTGTATTGCTATGAGAAACATCATGGCTAGTGAAAGTCTTGAGCTCAAAGAGTTAAAGAAAAAAAAACAAAAATAAATAAATCTCTATCAGTTCGAAGAAATAAATGAACAAGTTTTAGTTTCTTCTATTGCTTTCAAATAAATTTTTTGTTTTGTTTTTGTTTTTTTCTGGTCTTATCAAGTGCAAGCAATCAAAATTTTGAAGGAAAAAACAACAACAAAATTAAAACAAAAACAAAAAAAAAAAGTAAAAAATCTTATCAAATTATTGATCTTCCAAATCTTTATAGAATTGTAATGCATCCGTATAACCGAGTTGTTTTAGATTACCTGCTTTTGGCAATCGGCCAACCTGTTGAAAACCATAACGTTGACATGTTTTTATTGATGCCAAATTCGAAACATAAACTAAATTTGTATATAATGCTTTAAATTTTAATTGTNTGTGTCCCCGTTCCATCACGTGGGCCTACCACTCCCACACTTAATGATAACCACTACTACACAAACATAGGATACTCATGTATATAAACCCTGACAAACTTTGACACGACACATTGTATTGTATTCTTATTTTAGCTTTTCAATAAAATCATTCTTATCCGTTGTACGAACGTTACTGGTGTCAGGACCGATTCGAACCAACGTGTGAATCACAATGTCAACTTTATCTACGATACGAAGAGAGATCTCTCGTTTACATGGAATATGGGAACTGCATATGCTGGACAAAAACGTCGAAAAAGAGAAAATATTGAAACTCGCAACCGATTTGATCCGAGAGCATGATGCAATATGGTCCGCTGAGACAGAACCAACAACTGAAGAAACAACTAAAATGGCATCCTATCGGGAGAAACTGCGGGATTTGTTGGAAGCAGTAGATCCAAGATCTGACATCCCGGCAAAATTATCAGCAGAAATCAAATTCTCCGGTATGAAACAGGACTGGCCAAATTTTCGTTCAATGTTCGAAAATACGACTGAAACAGCAACACCACAAGAAAAATTCTTAATTTTGGTTAATGCGTTGCCTAACTATCTCAAACGAAACCTACCAACTCAACCGAATGCAGAAAGCGTATTTCAAATATTGAAAATTCTGGATATCGAGTTTGGTCCAATAGACAGTAACCAAACATTGGACATGGTGGAACGATTGAGTTTCGCACCGAAAACTCCATTATCAACGATAACTGGAAAATTACAACGCCTGTATTACCAAGCAGTGAACCAAAAGATAAACAACGAATACATTAAGGGTGTTTTTCAAAAAAAGATCAGGCAAATTCTTCCATTTGCTATCCTAAATTTATTGCCCATGAACGAAGATATTGATATTATAATCAACAAAATGGCAGAAATAGCTGAATCTCAAACATTAACCCTCAGGGCCAAAATGATCAACCAAAGTTCGTCGTATAACCAACGTAGGTCGTATAATCAGCAATCACAGCAGGACAACAGAAGCAAGAAATGTGTTTTTTGTTCAAGGACGAATCACAACAGTATTGTATGCAAACAAGGTTCAGCAAAATCACGTAGACAAACAGCTTCACGTCGTAATCTGTGTTTAAAGTGTTTACGACCAAACCACATGGCCAAAGATTGTCGATCAAACATAAGTTGCTCAAAGTGTAAAGGTCAACATGCTTCATGTCTCTGCGAAAAATCAACAATCAACATGGCAGAAATAAACAGTGACGACGAACATATCGATGATGAAGACGAATTAGTGACTTTAAACTAAACCGCCCTCCCAGGCAACTTATTGAATTTCCTTTACTGATAAATAAAATAAAAACTTTTGCCTTATACGATACGGGTGCTAATTTTATCGGAATATGCAAAAATAAAGCGGAAAAACTGAATCTTAAATGGCAAAAGAAATCAGGAAGCGCGTATATGGCTGACGGATCGTCAGTACAATGCCTTGGGAGGGCTAAAACATCGATAACTATTGGAAAAGAAAGTCACGAGATGACAGTCTTTGTGTTCAAAAAGCTTCATCATGATATTGTTGTAGGTACCGATGCAATCGATAAATTCCTACTAGAACAAAGAGTTGGTCTAAAAATCTTTCAACACAACAAACCGTTGACCAACCGTGAGAACAAAACAAAAAAGAAACAAATCAACAACTGTATCGATCAAGTCAAGAGTCGATACAATGATGTATTCACCGGTTGCGGAAAAACCAAAAGAACCGCTCATACCATCGACGTTTCATCGAATCGACTAATACGACACAAAGCACAAAACATTCCGATACATTGGATGAAAGATATCGCAAATCATATAAAGGAATTGCTTGATCTCGACATAATTGAAGAATCAAAAAGCGAATATCGATCTCGAATAGTACCAATCAAAAAGAAAGATGGCTCTGTTCGACTGGCTATCGACTACCGAGATTTAAATAAAATATCCAACAACGATGCCTTTCCGATGCCACGAATCAAGGACATCTTATTCAAATTATCAAAAGCAAGGATCTTTTCAAAAATGGATCTGAAACGCGGGTATTATCAAATTCCAATGGAAGAAAATTCAAAAAGATATACCGCCTTCGCTTTCAAAAACAAATTGTACCAATTTAAAATGATGCCTTTCGGATTAGTTGCAGCTCCACAGACCTTTCAACGGCTGATGGAATCTATTCTTGGTCATCTAGATTTCGTCGAATGCTATCTCGACGATGTGATTATCTTCAGTAAAAATGAACAAGAGCATCACAAACATCTTGATCAAGTATTCAAAATTCTCAGAAAAGAAAATCTCAAATTGAATGAAGAAAAATGCGAATTCTACATGAAAGAAATTGATTATCTCGGATTCAATATCAAACAAGGACAACGATCAATGATAGCAACAAATAAAAAGAAATTGCTACAATTTCCTCGACCATCCAATCAAAACGAAACAAAGACGTTTGTTTGCTTAGCCGGCTACTATCGTGAATTAATCAAAGATTTCGCAAAAATATGTAAGCCGTTGTACGACTGTAGCAATCAGAAGAAGTTCAAATGGCTACACGAACAGGAAGAAGCATTCAATCAGCTGAAAGAAGCGGTCAAGAAAAATCCGTCAATAATGATACCGGATATGGAACAGAAATTTACGGTAACAACCGATGCTTCCGATAATGCTATGGGAGCAGTATTGTCTCAAACAATAAATGGAGTGAAAACGCCTGTAGACTTCTTTTCTAGGGGATTCAACGATACCCAGAAAAGATACTCTACGTACGAGAAAGAAGCGACGGCGTTGATACAAGCACTCAAATATTGGCAGTATTTGTTAATCGGAAAGCCGTTCATCCTCGAAACAGATCACAAACCGCTGAAATGGCTTCTGTCCAAAAAAGATTGTAGCGGAAAATTGGGCAGAATGGTATTAAAGCTAGCGGATTTCCAGATCGAGAATATCGAGTACATCAAAGGGACTGATAACGTCCTTGCTGATACGCTAAGCAGATTACAGATGAATTGTATGGCTGATTCTAACCAAATGGACGATGTGATCAGGAGAGATCCAAACAATTTTCGTTACCAGAATGGCAGATGGTATTTTGTAGATGGCTCATCCAATCCAGAATCGTTACGAGCATATATCAGGAATATTGATGAACGTAAAGAACTCCTCAAAACCATACATGACATCGGACATTTTGGCGTATTCAAATGTACCGAGGAAATTCGGAAAAGGTTTTGGTGGCCAGGCTGGAAAAGTCAAGTAAAACAAATGGTATCTTCATGTCCACGCTGCGAGCAATACAAAGAGGACACTGAAAAGACGCGGTTGCCAATGATACCGAGCCAGGCCGAGCCAAATAACTGGAGGCGAATCGGAATTGATATTGCTGGCCCTTGGCAAACAACAGAAAATGGCAACAAATACATGTTAATCATTCAAGACTATGCATCGAAATTTGTTGTAGCAAAAGCAGTTGCCTCGACATCGACCGATATCATCACCGAATGGTTACGTCAGACGTTTCAAAATTTTGGTTGGCCTCAGACCATTCTTCATGACTGTGGCCCCCAATTTCAAAGCGAACAATTCAAGAGTTTCGCAAGAGAAAACCACATCAGCTTGGAAGAAGCGACGATTGCACATCATCAAACCAACGGAATGGTCGAACGGGTTATTAGAACAATCGAATCAATAATCCGCATATCGGCAAATGATCACAGTAGATGGGATGATACGTTATCAGAAGCAGTGACAGCTTACAATGGTTCAAAACATTTTTCAACATCCATGTCACCATTTAAGGCTATGTACGGACGTGACATGACGACACAATTAGATCTGCGATATGGAATCGTTCACAATGATGAAGACACGGAAATCCTGAGAGAACAACGACTAGCTCGTCATGATATAGCTCAGCAACATCAAAAAGAGCAGTACGACAAAAAGGTTAAAATCGAACCAATTCAAATTGGAGATCGGGTATTATGGCACTTGGTGGAAGCAACGAGAGGAAGCTCTAAAAAGTTCAATCAACGCTGGAAAGGACCATTCATTGTGACCGAGATGAATCATCCAAACATGAAAATTGAGGACCGAAACGGGAATTTTCGCTGGATCCATCATAATCATCTTAAGAAATCACGTTCGGAGAACACCGTCTTGGATATCATCCGAAACCGCGGCCGACCCCGGATGCATCCGTCTTAAGGGGGAGGTGTGTCCCCGTTCCATCACGTGGGCCTACCACTCCCACACTTAATGATAACCACTACTACACAAACATAGGATACTCATGTATATAAACCCTGACAAACTTTGACACGACACATTGTATTGTATTCTTATTTTAGCTTTTCAATAAAATCATT